AATCCCTCCATATATAAATGTAGAATTTTTTGAACTTATGCAATTTTTGATATTTCGTAATGCTATGTGTCAATTTTTAATGTTTCCCAGCTTATATAAACTTGGACTTCACTATTAGAAATTGGTGCATTAGCGACCAAAATTTGCAACAAAAATTTAGTTGTTGCAATATTAACAACGATTTAGATACGGTATATACTTTCACAAACAGAATATACATTAAACAACAAATCTATTCCAACGGTTATAAGATTATAATTGGTTTTTACTTATCCACTCTCATGTGACGTTTTTATTTAAAATCAAAACATAATAGCTTCCTTTATCTTCTCATGTATGTTAGGCATTTGAATTTGAAATAAGAGCTTAATCTAAATTTGAAGTAGAGTTTGATTTTAGATAAGATTTATATTCTATATAAATCCTACCATTACTTCTAATTTCTTACACCGCCCAAACACATGTAACAGCAAGGCTGTAGTCTTTCAAATTTTTGGAAGACATTTGAAGTGAAGGTAGGGCAAACAACCTTTTGCCAGTGCTGGAGCTTCTTTGGTCCTGTGTGACAGTTGTTATGATGGCATTTGCTTCTTTGGTCCTGTGTGACAGTTGTTATGATGGCATTTGATTGAGGGGAATGTCAGTGTTACTCAACTATCTTTGCTTCTTAACTGTTCCCAGACTTGTCTCTTTATAACTAGTGTTTGTTAGTTGGTTTATTTTTCTGTTTCTAGTCACCGTTCTTGTTTCTTGGTTGTTTAATTGTATCTGCTGCTTCGGCTAGGTATTCTTGTTTTTGCTGTTAGTTTTAGGGGTTGATGATGGTATATCTGATTCACCCTTGTGCTAGAGTTGTAGTGTGTCCTAAACAGTGGTGGTCTTCACAACCTTTTGGTTGGTCTTCGTATATTTTGAGCTAGTGTATTGAATACATGCATTTTCGAGAGAAAGAAAAAGGCAAGGCTAGAAGTGAGTGGCTAGAAGTGAATGGTGTAGAAAATCATCTTTATAAAATTATTTTTGAATCTCACAAATAGAACTAAGAAACTTGTTTTATTGGAACATGATGTCAAAAAGTGGATTGCACATGCGTGGACGAGCAGGAAAATGAAGTCTCGAGGTGACGATAGAAGAGTTCAATTTATAACAGATAATATTAACAATGATGACTCAATATCGCCAGTCCGTCTGAGACATTTAGGATCAAGGAGTACAAAGTGATGAAAACTCTCTTTCTCCAAACCAATTTGTTTATGCTGGTACAAATAATGTGCAAGAAAATGAGGAAACTCAAATCCATCCCGACACTCAAGATTATGAAAAATCAGGAAGTCGGTGAGATTGGAGGCTATCTAGTGCCTCAAACAGTGATGCTGAAATTGTTAGGAGAGAGGGCTAAATCATGGTACAATTGTTTCGACAAATGAAAGTAAGCGGATTCATATATCTGTTGAACAAAATAGGTATGTGGTACTTTGTAAGTCTTCTATTCATGCTTAGTATCCTTGTGGACATGTACATGTGTTTTTATATTTCATAAAACGTTATCTAGTATAATATTTCAATATGCTATGGCATAAATACATAGATTCCTAAACCCGTAGATTCCACGTGATATAACTATGACGTTGAAAGCATATGTGAATGGCCCATACCCGACATATAAACATGTTTCAGGAAGATGCATTATGGAAGAAATTCAATGTAATATTTGTCAATAAGTTAAGTTATTTTCAGTTTAATGTCTCCTATTACAATAATGTCTATTCTAATCTATTACTGCTACTATGAACATGTGGTTCGTAGGAAAAGTTCAAGTGGTCCCCAAGAAAAACTGAAAAAGTACGGAGAGCATTTAATTGATCGTCTGTTGATTGACTGAAGGGGATGTTCAATTGAGTGCATTCACGTGCAATGAAATTATGCAATGGCTCGACGAAACCAAGGGATTGGGTGTCTTATGCTCCAGGATAGTTAAATGATGAATATTTGCAGCAAATCATTAATAAATATTGGGATAATGAGAAATATGAGATGAAGTGCAAGATTGCAAAACAAAATAGAGAGACTAAGAAAGGAAATTCTATGGCGAAACACACAGGTGGTTCAATACCTTTTGTTGCTCACAGAAAACAAATGGTATGCCAAACTTATTAACATTCTAGTATTTTCTTAATTGTACTAAAAATTTCTATACGTGATTTAACAATCAGCTACATGTTTCAAGAGATGAAGAAAAAATACGAAGTCACGCAATTGTAATTATTTTTTTGAACACATAAGCGCAACGAGGGAGCTGGTAATTTCATTGACGATAGGTCTAAAGATGTTAGTGTAAGTATTATTCTAGTGGTTTTCTTTTTCAGTTGTTTTTTGCCCGAGTTGAATATTTTACAACAAATTATGATCATTTTAATAAAATTAATTAGTTATTTGCAAACGATACTTGTCCAGGAAAAATATAAAGTTGCCCTTGAAGCAAAGTATGGTCTTGATATGTTAGATGAGCTGGCTTTTGATGCTGATGCATGGGCAGAAGCGACGAATGGTCCACACAAGGGTCATTTATATGCATTTACACCGGTTGAAACAGCTTCACTTATTCTTGGTTCATTAGTTTCAAAAAATGATGAGAACAATGAAGATGTGAATGAGAAACTCAAAGTAATGCTAGAAATTATTGATGAGCTAACGAAGAATAGAGTCGAAATAGAAAAAGAGATTCGCCAAGAGTTAGTGGAAACGATGACTAGTGAAATTGTAGAGATCAAGCGGCAATCCAAGGAGGAAATAAATGAAATTATACTGGGAATGAAACGTCGAGCAAATAGTCACCGTAAAGAACTGGGTAAAATGATCCGCAACATGCTTCGAGAACTTAACCTCCTTAACTCGAAGTATCCTTCGGGTTTCGGGGACGAAATAGTATTTCTTGATTGCACATTTTCTTAAATCATATTTTTGCTTCAATAAAATGTCGGGCTGATTGATCTTTTCGACTTTTAGTTTGGTACCTATATTTTTTATTTGAACTATTTACTTTTCTACATCTTTTAGTTAAAGATTTAGTTTCATTTGTAATTTTTCTCTATGGAATATTTAGTTTTTCTTTTGACTTTTAGTTAAAGTTTAGTTTCTTCTACAACTTTTCTCTATGGATTATGTTATATTTTAATCCTATGTGTCGCCATCTATATGATAAACATTTTATTGTAGCATCTTTTGTTTTGGTTAGTATTTCATTATACAATTTACTATAATAGTAATATTAATAAAATTAAAATATTGTAAATATAATAACTAAGTTAATTGAAATATTGCAAGCTATCTCTTATAACTTATTTAATAAAAAAACTATAAACGTAAAGTAAATAAATAATTAGTGAGTTGCACCTAATAATTAGTTAAGTTAATAAATAATTAGTGAGACCCACATTTAAAACCACTCACTTTTTTTCACTGAAGACTATCATACCTGACTGAACAACATACTTACATGGGAATTACAATTTGGCATTACGAGTGAAATATCATAAAATAATAATCGGATTGGAATTATCCGCTATAGTCTCCACAAATCTTAAATCCATTGTATGACGACAATAGTAAATTTAAATTTTTTGGAGAAGCTGATGGGAAAATGAACACGGTAAGTGCAAATTGAAGTTTTTTTTTTTACTTGTCAAAAATATATTGGCGATGAGATGAACTGTGCAGAAAAGTTATTGATACAATATGTCTTTTTGTTTTTAACTTGTCACCAATATATGATCTGATAAATAATTTAATGACTATATACAGACAAAATGAGGCATTGATATTGAAGCTTAACTAGAATAAGTAGCCAACATATGACGGGTTCATGTCAGGGTTACAAGAATCATTATTGCATCTTGACTTGAATAAACTGTCAATATATGACAGGTTCATCTCAACGGCACAAGAACAAGAGAAGGTTCGACGAGTGTTACTGGAAGATCATCTTCAAATGTTAAAAAATAGTTCCGATGTTATTTGAGGATATAAAATGATTAGTAGTTTGTATTAATTTTGTGTATTCTAATATTTTATCAATTGAAATTTTATTGTACTGATGAAATAAAATCATTGTATTTTGTTTTATTTTCTTTCTTTAATCTTGCTTGTTTATTTTAAGTGGTATTAATCGATTCATTTGATGCAAAAGAAATTTACTGAAAACTGATCTTGTGATTTTTTAATGCGTCGCATGAGAAACGAAAATCATTCCATTGTATTGAAATTGTCGCTAATATGAAGATATTAAGAACGAACCAGTCCATTATAAATTTGGTTTCTATTATTGAATAATTAAGAACAAATAGTCTCATTTCTAATTTGGTTTCTATTTCTAAATAATTAGAAACAAATAATTAATCTCGTTTCTTATTTGGTTGCTATCCCTCGAATACTAGAAATGTGTTGCTTTTTACAAAAATTGTTAATGGTAGCAACGGAACAAAATCCGTCTCTAAGCATCAACACCCCTATTTTCACTGACTAATAATGCAACAGAATATACTTGTTTCTATTGTTTATTATTAAAAAAGTTATACCCTATTGGAACACAATTTTCGTTATAGAAGTCTCACTTTCTAGTAGTCACATTTTGATTTTTAACGTGAAAACTAAATAACGTTCGTATTTTGTTATTAAATTTTCATACGATATATCATATTAATAGACTTTTGAAAAATTTCGATTTGATATTTATATTGCATATATAAATAAATATACATTTACTTTTATAATAAAAATTAAATTATCTATCCATATTACTTGAAAATAGTAAAATTATTTATCAATTAAATAAATTTATTTATCATGTCCATTAATATGAGTTAAAAGTATTTATAATATAAGAATGACGAGTCATATAAGTAAAGAATGTCATTTTAATATAAATGTTAATATAATTTTTAAGAATTATTTAAAAATTACAACATATTTTTATTTAAAACCATAGATATAATTTTTTATCAACACTTGCTCTCATGTAGTCATGTATTGTACTCAACTAGTTATTCATAGGATGAATTGGATACAACAAATGTAATTTTATTCATTAAATAAAAAAAATGTCAACTTTTAATTGTTATACTTTTGTTCTTCACAATTTATTACAATATTCAACTAAAAATTAATAAATACTAAATTTTGATGTATAAAACTTGTTATCCGTTGCTAACATATTTATAATTATTCAATATTAAGTTACAATTTTCACACCACCAATACAATAATATCGACCAATTTCAGTAGCGTGTGGAGCCACACGAGCTGGCCGTTTGACCTTATGATCCTCACCATTGTTTTTGTCGGTGGAATTCGAAACCATATGAAAATGGGAAAAAAAAAACAAATTGCGTGCCCATAATAAGGCCCAATTATACACTAGTCTACTAATTAAATGGCGCACGGTTATTCAATACGGTCATTTCCACGGTGCACCACCTCCGCCGACAGAAACCAATCTTCCAGATCGACGTTTCACGGAAAGCCACGTGGCGAACAGCGTGGGCCATGTTACAGCTAATTGAAAAGACACAAGTAGTCAGTTTAGTCACGAGCTCGGGCTTTCAATTCTTGTCCTTACAACTCATAAAAAAAAAAAAGAAGAAAAGAAAAAGAAAAGCCGAGTAAAATCTTTACGTGCTAAAGAAATATTCGCAAGCATTTTTCCGATATTGAATTTTCCTAATAGCATCCGCATTCTTATCAGTTCATTCAAGCATAATTTATAGAAAAATCCTACGTAATATTGTACATAGGTCATGGGAATTGCCCCCTTCAAACTTTATTTTTTTTATTATTAATATTAAAAATTTTAAGCTGCCTTCCTTTAAATTTATTTTTGCACCCCCAGATTTTTTATTTTTAAACGTCACTCACCAGTCAACTTGTACACAATTGTCAATTAACAATCCAACACTTCTTTTATTTTACTATTAATTTTGTATATTAATTATTATCATTCTACAATTTTAATTGGCCCATATAAAAGACTTCAACTATCTTTTATTGCCCAGGCTAAGGCTGGTATTTTTTGACCGAAAACCGAAAATCGAACCGAACCGATGAGAATATAAACCGAACCAAACCGACTTATGTGTAACGGTAACCGAAATCGGTTACCGAAATGTTATCGGTTCAGTAACGGTTTTGAATCCATTATGTCATATCTTTTGCCCCCTCTCAACTAA